TTAATTCTTTTTATTTATTTATGATAGTCACACAGAGAGAGAGATAGAGAGAGGCAGAACAAAGGCAGAGGGAGAAGCAGGCTCCATGCACCGGGAGCCCGATGTGGGATTCGATCCCGGGTCTCCAGGATCGCGCCCTGGGCCAAAGGCAGGCGCTAAACCGCTGCACCACCCAGGGATCCCCTCTCTTTCTTGTTCTTTTTAAAGCCCAGCCTATGTCCATCTCTACCATTTTTATACTCCTCCTACCATCTCTGCCTTAACCTTCTCACAAGTACTGGGTCATGTGATGTTCTGCTGTTCTGCAGCCTTTCTTGGTACATGGTCTCACTCCACACATTAGTCCTCGGGGAAGTCAGGACCAGTCATTTCCTTTTTTGAGGAAACTTAGTCTCAAGGAAATGGAATCATTTGCCCAGGGTCACACACAGTCAGGACTAGACCTTTGGTCTCCTAACTACCAGCCTTCAGGGTGTCTTGTCAGTCAGTCAGTCACTAGACCTAAGTGACTCCCCTGGGCCAAGTGATGACAGGCTCGATTTTAATTACAAAAATTTAGTGGGCTAATATTTTTATTTCTTAATTCCAAATGAGGGTCTAATAAAGACCTATTACCTATTAAGTTCACAGTTAGTGGGGTCTTCGATTTTCTGGAACCTGCACTGCTGTTTTTGTTTGTTTGTTTGTTTGTTTTAATAGTTTCTTTTTTTAAAAAAATATTTTTAAGCAATGTCTCTCCCCAACCTGGGGCTTGAACTCACAATCCTGAGACAAGGAGTCACAAGCTCTACTGGCTGAGCCAGCCAACTGCCTCTTTCACATTCTCCTAATGGTTCTAGATGAGTATTGTAGTTTACAGAAGTAGAAAATAAGTACACATTCTAATTTGATACCAAAATGTTTTAGCTGCTTTGTTTCAGCTGCTTGTCCTTATTGAACAGGAGTCAGAAAAGCTGGCTGTAGATTTTATCTTTTTCATGTAGAAGGACAGAAAAGCCAGAGCACTTCCCACTCCTGTCCACTGTCTTTCCCATGAGTACTGAGACCAGAGTCTGGGGCTGGGGCAACCCTTCCCAGAACTGCAGCCTCCACCCCCATGGGATCTAGGCTGTGGCTTCTCTTTTGCAGCAGCTGTTTTTAAAGGTGTAATCCGCAGAGAGAAAGACGGTCTCCTCATGTGCTCAGGCTACCGTCTTGTGAACCATAAGCCTCAAGCTGAGCTCCTGATTCTCAGGCCATCATGTTTCTTTTTCTGCTGGCAAGGTTATGATAAACCTTATCAGTTTCCCAGGTGGCACCTTACAATGAAGACACAGAGGCTTTTGAATGAGGGGACAATAGGATTTGCTGGGGGAAGGGATAGATGAGAAGAGCAGGATGGGGTAGGGAGTTTAAAGTCAGGGCTTAGGGTCTCAAGCAAAGGCCAGCCAACTGCCCTGCTGACCTCCTGCCCGGGCAGCCTCGAGCCCCTTGGGGAGAACTGTTAACCTCAAGGGGGCTTCCCCAGGGAGCAGACTAGAGCTGGCTGAGCTGTGGGTCACAAGTTTCCGAGTCCAGAGTGGCTTCGGGGCCTGGCCTGAGTAACTTAAGCTTGAAAATCATTAACGAGCTGATGAGAAAAATGGAAAACTTCTCTTGCTGGTGTCAGTGGAGCAAAGGGAGCAAGCCCAGAGGTTCTCAGAAAGTGGAAGGGGAGGTGCCAAACGTGGAATTGCCCGAGGTGCAGGAGGCAGTGGAAGGAGGGGGGAAGGAGCCAGGGACCCCAGATCTTTGCTCAGACAGGAGGTGAATGTGAGGGGCGGCGGGGCTTTCTCACTTTTCCTTCCATGGAGTCTTACAGCGGCAGGTGAAGCACAGATGCTTGGGTCTTAGTTGTATGTAACACCACAAATGCCCCTGTTTGGGCTGGTGGGCACCCCATGAGGTGCACCCCAACATGAGGCCTGGCACTGGGGTCATGTCTCAGGAAGTGTGTCTAGCTCAGCACCCTTAGAGTGGCCACCAGGTGTTGCCTGGCCACCAGAGCCCAGACTCCACGTTGCCAGTTCTGTGTCTGCATTACAGGTGGGTGCTTGTGTTTATGGGTGCACGTGGGCCCCTTTCTGTCCTCCTCTATCTGGCAGGACAGCTCAGCCAGATGTGGTGATTAATGCTCTTCTTTTTAGATCTTGTGTGACACTCGTTCAGACCCTGTGTGTAACAGGATCTTGTGTGACACACATTCAGGCCCTGTTGATGAAGCTGGTCTGGGTAAAGTTGCCCTAGAAGTAGTTCACACCCTAAGACCACCTCTTCTGAGGCGAGAGAAGCAGTGTTAGCAGCTAACATCTGACAAGAACCCCAGAAACAGGGCCCAAGGAGTCAGTCTTCCACACAGCTGCCTTACATGCTCTTTCTCCCCTTGAGATACTTGCTCTGTGTGTGAGACCATCAATCAGCCTGGCTGTTAAGAAATGATTGCACACCCTTTTGATGGGTGTTAAGAAATGATTGTACATGCTTTGCTCTGTGGGGGCTGGGCTCTGGGATCTAGGGGGCAGTAAAGTGCTGGTCAGGCCACCCTAGGCCTTTTTGGGACCCACCCAGGGCACCCTGGGAGCTCTTTCGAGCCTTCTGAGCTCTCCAGACCTCCCCGGTGTCCTCCCCCTTACTCCTGCGGGGAATAGCCAATAGTTCCAAGTGGTGGCTCTGGTGGTTCCCTGTGCTGATGGCCCAGGGCTGGACCTGTCGTCCCCTACTTGCTTGTAGGGGCCTTTAGGAGCAATGTCCCCAAGCAGTGGCTCTGAGAAGTGGGTTTGCTGCTCTGTGCAGGGTAGCTCATGGGATGAGATGGAGAGATGGAGTCAGTGCCCAATCTTGGAGTGACCAGACCTTACCCCGAGCAGCCAAACTATTCCCCCTCCACAGGAGCACGTGTGTGAGCCTGTCTTCATGCCCTTCATCTTGAGGAACCCTGGTGGGTGGGCTGCAGGGAACTAGCAAGGAGTGGAAAGGCTTTTTATCAAGAGAAGTTTTCAAAGCTTCATCAAGGAGAGAACAGTAATTAACCCCAGGCCCTGTCTCCCAGCTCCTACCACCATCAAAACACACCTGCACTCGTGGGGGTTGGCAAACCTTGGGCCAGATCCAGCCCTCTGCCAGGTTGTGTGGTGTTTGATGACAGGGAGCATGATCTCTGAGCCCAAGTGAAATATTACCCCACATCCCCCGTCCCAGTTCCATTCTTCTCATTAGTAGACCTGTATTACAAAAAAAAAGAGAGAAAGAAAGAAAGAAAGAAAGAAAGAAAGAAAGAAAGAAAGAAAGAAAGAAAGAAAGAAAGAAAGAAAAAGAAAGAAAGAAAGAAAGAAAGAAAGAAGTATTCAGTTGCTATATTTTGAATTCTATCAACAACAAAAAAAAGTTGTGGAAACTTTTTTTTTTTTTTTTTTTTGGAAACTTGTTTTTTGGAATATAAGAGGAGATACTGGCCTGAATAATTCTGCAGAGAACATTTTACACATCTTTAAAAAAGCCTAAATGCTACCCAACTTAAAACTTGTAAGAATAATTTGTAAGAGTTACTGTAAAATGAATTCATTTAAGCACCAAGAAATTTGGGATATATAATATTTCAGATGATATGATTTACTGAGTACAAAGAGTATGATTTTTCTTCGTGAATTTGTGTTTATATACAAATATAAAGGATACAAGATAGGCTCCTTTTAAAAGCCAAAGATTCAAAATCTGTGAATGACTTTTACCATATTTCCAATTTCTCGATATAGCAAGGGACCCTATGGTAAAAGATCCGTGTGTGATAAATAACATAGTACAGTCCTATCTGAATATCAGTTCTTATTCATCTTGCCTCATTAATATAATTTATACCTCAATTAAAATATTCTATCTGCAAACAATATATTTATCTAAAATATTTTGTAATTCAGATTGCCATTCAGACCACCTTCTCCTCTGCCTCTTTTCTCAAATCATTGTAATTTTATGGTACACCTCATTAAATTGTTTTCTTTTCTCCCTTCAGTGAAACTGTCAACTCAAAGCACCACATTATTACAAACACAGATATAGCATATATTAACATACTAGAAAAAAAGATAATACATATGGATCTATGCTAAATGAGACAATGCAAACCAAAAAACACACAACACCATGCTATGTTCATCTATTCCGAAGCACTACAAGAAGGCCCTGATAGCACCCTGGCTCATGTAAACTGATGTTCCCAGATATCACTAGTGCCCTGTACTCCAACATAATTAAATGTTCTATTAAAGACATTTCCACATTTGTTTGCTTAAAACAATCTACAGCAGCTTTGACTACTAATCTTGAAAATGATGATAACACATTATAGTTTCAATCAAGTCATAGATTCTAAGCTAAGTATTTTCTATTATCACCCATTTATTTAATAACACATTCAGGGAGCTAAGCAACATTCAGTTCAAGGGTTTTTTACTTCGCTCTCTTTTGATTGTGAATTTCAGATGTGTCCTTTAGTCATCCTCGGCTTCAGTGAAAGAGGATTCTTCAAGCAACTGATTAAAATATCTTAATTTAAAAGCAGGTTGACTAAGTGGTCAGCAGCTGAAGCACTCTTGTCTACATACTGCATCCATAATACTCTGTCCTCTCTGGAGGAACTGGATGCCCCTGACCTACCATGAGCGTAACACATTTCATCCCTCAACCCAGAAGCAGCCAGGGTACATTAGAACATGGGTAGAAACTAACTCAAAACTACTTTGGGGGCAAACACCAGATTTCGATTTGTCAGCAAAACCACCATAGTGTGGTTTTCTCAAGAAACAGGCTTTGCATTGAAACACTTGCTTTCTCTTCTCATATCAAGTTGAACTGCTAAAGTAATATCAGAAAGAGCACAAAAGATAAGCATGTCTTCTCTGAAAGAGGCACTGCATCTGGGATCGGAATTAAGGCTAAATAAATAATGCTGGTTTGTGGTTTAGACAAATGTGCCAATGGTTACATTAACCAACAGCTTCGCACTTTGTCCTGTATACCTGTTTGTGAAGATGCGTCTCAGTCTCCTCCCTGAAGACCAGCATTCCTAGGTGCGAGTGAGAGGCCTCATTCATGGCTTTGGACTGGATGCACACACGGTACTGTTCAGGAGTCAACTCATCAGCACAGCGTTTCTCATGCCAGAGGTGGAAAAGACCAGGAACTGGAGTCCGAATCACAATCAGGTCACCATGTAAGTATTTTCGATAAAGATGAACATCTCCACACCAACCTTTTACTTCCACGTCAAATCCACCTGCCGGATGAAAACTGACATGTCGGTAACTGCCTGTCAACCAAAGCACAATTGATAAGAATTAAGATGTTCCACTTCAAATGAGATGGCACAGCACAGCCTAAAGATACCCGAGAGAGGACTGACATCTGGTTTGGAAGTCCAGCTAGGAGCTGACTTCTAGCAGCAAAGGCCTGTTGTTGGGAGTATCAAAATGAGATTAAATATTTGAGAATGCTTTGTAAATGTCTAAGTTAAATAGTAAATCTAGAGAAAGTCAAAGGAGAAGGAAATATAAATCACCCATAATTTCACCACTACTAATATTATGATTAACATATTTATCCACTGAGATACAAGTTTTTCTGGGCCACAGACAACTTTCCAGAGGAGAAAACAGAAGAAATGGCTAGGTTGAACATATACATTTGAGAAGGGGAACATGGATGATTTAAAGCCACAGGAATGGATGAAATTACGAAAGGTGTTTAGAAAGAAAATAGGCCCAGATATAAATACTAAGTAATGCCAATACCTACAGGTTAAACATACAGAGAAAAAGAAATCAGCAAAAGAGACTGACAAATTGCCCCAGAGGATGAAGAAAATTCTGGAGAATGAGCTATCAGTAGTCAAATGAAAAAAGTATCTTCAGGAATAAAGGGTCAAGCGTGTGCTGCTCAGTTAAGAATTTAAAAAAAAAGGACACCTAAGTGGCTCAGCAGTTGAGCATCTGCCTTTGGTTCAGGGCGTGATCCCAGAGTCAGGGATCGAGTCCCGCACTGGGCTCCCTGCGAGGAGCTTGCCTCTCCTGCCTCTCTCTGTGTGTCTGTCATGAATAAATAAAATCCTAAAAAAAAGAATTAAAAGAAAAAAACAAAAAAAGACCTGGCAACATAAATGTCACTTATAAACTTCCCTACTACAATAATTCTAATGGAGCGATGGAGCAAATGGCTAACTGGACCAGGTGAACACATGAAATGGAAGATAAAGTTGAGAGTATTTTCACATTGGTTTAATCTAAACTTTCTTAAAGAATCATAGAGAACATAAACCATTTGGAATTTTTTTTTTTTGACCATTCGGAATTTTTTGAAGAACAGGCATACATTCTTAAAAACTGAAAACAAATTAATTCTTTAATTAAGAGCAAGGTTTCCGAATTATGTCTTCTGTCAAATAATTATATACCACTTAATTTTATACTCACGGGGGATCCCTGGGTGGTGCACGTGTTTGGCGCCTGCCTTTGGCCCAGGGCGTGATCCTGGAGACCCGGGATCGAATCCCACGTCGGGCTCCCGGTGCATGGAGCCTGCTTCTCCCTCTGCTGTGTCTCTGCCTCTCTCTCTCTCTCTCTCTCTCTCTGTGACTATCATAAATAAATAAAAATTTACAAAATCTTAAAAAAAATTTTACACTCACAGGATGACAATAATCCTGAGATCTCTGAAAAGTATTGCTTTAAATAGTCATAGCTTTTATAAAACACTATGTCTAATACATACTGGTTTTCCTTCTCTGTAGATAAAATTTCTTCAAATATTAGAGATGGTATAGATACTTAAAACAAATGAGGGACTTCCAGTTTCTGGTCCAGCATATACATCGCTTAGAAGTCATACCATCCTAACAACAAGTGAAAAGTGAAACAAACTGAAAAATAAACAACTCCTCTCAGATCCCTCAGAGAAATAAGGTCACAGATCAGATTGCCACCACCGAATTAGAGAATCAGGCAGGTAAAATGGAATCACAACTATTTTTTTAAAAATTTTTATTTATTTATGATAGTCAGAGAGAGAGAGAGAGAGAGAGAGAGGCAGAGGCATAGGGAGAGGGAGAAGCAGGCTCCATGCACCGGGAGCCCGACGTGGGATTCGATCCCGGGTCTCCAGGATCACGCCCTGGGCCAAAGGCAGGTGCCAAACCGCTGCGCCACCCAGGGATCCCTGGAATCACAACTATTAGAGCAGAAAGCCACCAGTAGAAATCTCCAGGGGAACCAGTCTGAGGTAGGGAAAAAAAACTGGAACTGTAATTGACGAATGGCTAGAGGCTCAGTGGACAAGTGTAAAAGTTGAAAACTCCAGATTGGGGGGCATAGAATGGTCCCTACACTTGTGTGAGTTTTACACTCAGGAGCTCTAGTAGGTTTTCACTGTGAAGATTAGAGCAAAATACCCTAGTGCTTTCAGCAGGAGCAGTGTGAATATAATCATTGTGAAACATGCCAGAGCACTTTATTCTTAATAAGGCCTGCCTCAGGAGAAACTATTTTACTAGAGTCAAACCTACCTGGGGAAAGGACATACCCAACTGCAGCCCACTCTAGCCATCCTGTCTCACTTAAGGTTGGGGATGGTGTCTGAGAAACACTTGTGAAGTTAATGGTCCAGATACATAATCTCACTAAGGAACTGAGACCTAATCACAGGACTACAGAATACTTCCTCTTTCCCCACACCTCACCACCTATTACTAGTTTACTGCAGTTTCCTTTGCCCAATACATCATGTTCAGTTATGAAGAAAAAATGAGGCATACTCAAAGACAAAAGACAGATTGAAGACACAGAGCAAGCATCACAACCGGATTCAGCCAGGAGTACTGAAATTGTCAGCCTGGGAATTTAAAACAACTATAAATGATATGCTAAGGGCTCTAATAGAAAAAGTAGGCAACAATCAAGAACAGATGGTAATGTAAGCAGAGAGTAAGAGATTCTATGAAAGAATAAAAAAGAAATGCTAAAGATAAACAATGTAACAAAGGAAGAATGCCTTTGTATTGGCTGAGGAAAGAGTCTCTAAGCTTGAGGATATGTCAATAGAAACATCCAAAATTGAAAAGGCAAAAACGAAGAGGACGGGGTGGGGGTGGGGCGGATAGATCAGAATAGTTCATAAGAATTGTATACAAAAGGTATAACAAATGTGTAATGGAAATACCAGAAGGAGAGGAAAGAAAGGAACAGAAGCTCTAAAATCAAAGAGCCAAATTCCAAACAAGAGAGCAATCAGTGAACAATGAGTGGAGCCTAGCAGGTGGGAGTGTTACTGCAGAGACAGTAAAAGACAGCCTTACTAGGGGCGCCTGGGGGGCTCAGTCAGTTGAGTGCCTAACTTCGGCTCAGGTCGTGATCTTGGGGTCCTGGGATTGAGTTCAGCATCGGGCTTCACACTCAGTGGGGGGTCTGCTTCTCCCTCTCCCTGTACCTCTCCCTCTGCTCCTGCTCACTCTCTTTCAGAGAGAGAGAGAGAGAGAGAGAACCCTACTAAATCCATGTCATCCCAGGGTGACTGTGCACATGCCCTGAGAGTGTCAGGAGAGGCTTCACATAGCTGGTGAATGGGGAGATAAAATTCATTGAAATAGTAAAGCCAAGTCAATAAACAAGCAAAAAAAAAAAAAAAAAAAAACAACAACAACAAAAAACAAGCCCTGGAGGCAGGAGGAATCAATCTTCAGGCTTTCCATAATATGTGACCTAAAATGTCCAGTTTTCAAGAAAGAAATTACGAGGCACATAAAGAAACAGAAAAATATATATACCCATATACCAGAAAAAAAGTAGGCAATAGAAACTGTGAGAGGGCCGAGATGTCAGTTTTTACAAAATTTCAAAACCATTATAAATATGTTCAAAGAATTATAAGAAATCATGCTTAAAGAAGAGAAGGGAAGATGAAAATGTTTCATGAAATAGAGATTATCAATGAAGAGACAGAAATTATACATATAAAAAGAAATTCTGGAGCTAAAAAAGGACAACGTGGGCAGCCTGGGTGGCTCAGCGGTTTAGTGCCACCTTCAGCTCAGGGTCTGATCCTGGAGACCCAAGATGGAGTCCCACGTCAGGCTCCCTGCATGAAGCCTGCTTCTTCTCCCTCTGCCTGTGTCTCTGCCTCTCTCTCTCTGTGTCTGTCATGAAGAAATAAAATCTTCAAAAAAAAAGGACAACGCAAATGAAAAATTCATTAGAGCAGCTAAGTATAGATCTGAACAAAGAATCAGTAAACTTGAAGATAGATCAATTGAGATTATGCATTCCAAAGAAAAGAGAGAGGAAAAAAAAAGAAAAGAGAGAAAAAAATAATAAAAAATGAAGAGAGTCTCAGAGAAATTTGGGACACCATTAGCTATACCAAATACATACTAAACAGGAATATAAGGAGAAAATAATGAATAAGGAGCAGTGAGAAATGGCATAGGTTAGAAAGCAATGATGTATTCCTGCTGTTTTATTGAGCCAGAATCCAGGGAAAGGGCATTAGTTTCATTTAATAGTCATTTTATTGCTATTTGCCGATTTTTCTAGGATTCAGATGTTACACTGTTACAGAGATAAGGTGGAGGAATTTCTAAAAACAAATGGCTGATTATAAAAATGAATGTAAGATGGGCCTAAAAAGTACACAAAATATATTCTGTTATAATATATAAATATATATATAAATATATACATGTGTATATTATATAGGTGTGTCTGTTATACATACGTATATATGTGTTTATATATGTACATACACACTCATGCATAAATATATAAAATATATTCTTATATGCTGTGGAAATGCAGCCACTGACTGATCAGGAGATGTGGAACCAAGTTTCAGCCTGCTTTCTTATACTGTCCTCTGACAATGTATTTTTTTTTTTTTTTTTTGCTGAAGCTAAAGTGGGGCAGGAGGCTTAGACCAGATTCTTCAGGGTCATCTTTGGATTCAAGGAGTGGATGACTAAGCCAATTGACTCCAGGTTCCGCACTCCAACTTCAACCAGAGCTAAAGACTGGCTGTCTTAAATACTAGGATTTTCATAATAGATCAACAGACAATTAAAGTGGTTTCATCTCTAAATAAAAAAATACAAAAGCCCTTGGACTAGATAATCTAACATTACTTCCAGATGCAACAATCCAGGAGCACAACACCAGAGTTAGGTAGAGAGCTTTCATAAGGATATTCAAAACAATTGCAAATATTGGTAATAAGCCAAACAGATGTTTTTAAAAACTAGTGTTTTGATTTAAGGAAACAAGTAAATATTCTATTTCATTTTTATTTTATGATCTCATTTTTGCTACTTAGAGACATTAATCATAAACTTACTTTTGCTTTTCACATCTCCAGGTGCCTCTTTTAGCTAATCTCATTCATAATTTAATAGGAAAACACTCGATTCTGAGACATTTTAGAAAAATGCCATAAGGTACTACAGTAAATAAATACAGCCCTATCCTTAAATGTAAGGTATACTTACCTATGGTCAGGAAATCTGATCGATACGGACAAGTCATTCCAAAGCCAAATTCTCGCCAAAAGCCAGAATCCTTTTTGTGAACCTTCATTAAAAAAAAAAAGAAATTCAATTTAATCCCTCAAGATTCAGAAGTTTCGATCAACAATGAAAGAAATTAAAATTCTTTCCAAATAATTTTTCCTGTCATTTATGTGACTGATAATGGATCACATGATCCATTAATCATTCACATGATTAAATCTTTACAAAACCAACAAAAATACAGTATTCTCCATCAGCAAAGGGTTCTTGCCACATTCAATTTAACTGAATTTAAGCCCTGTACAAGGTGCCAGCTAAGGTTACTAATAAACAGTACGGTGCCTGAACTCAAGGAGCTTACTTACATTCCATTCTGGGAATAGAAGCTGCACAAATCCATACTGTAATACACTAAGTTTTTCTAAATAGTAGACCTTATTTGGTGCCTTTCTTCATTCTTTTGCCCCTTTCTGACTATGTACAGTTTTGCTCTGCTAATTACCTGGTCCCATGTAATCCATGAGCTTTGTTCCTTCCACCTGTAGCTTTAGATTGGGCCATGATGACTCTATACCAGTGGCACAGTGTCAAACCATTTATTATAGGAATTGATTCACTAACAGGAGTTAGACCAAATTCAGGCCAACATGGTAAAAGGGAAGTGCTGTTTGGGAACTCTGGAAAACAAAGTCCCTTCATTCCTCTGAGAGAGCTACTAGAAAAGACATTTGCTTTTTTTCGATGGTGTAGAGAAGGAGTCAGCAAACTACAGCCTCCAGGGTAAATCTGGCCTGCCGCCTGTTTCTGAAAATAATTTTATTGGAATACAGCTACAGTCATCTGTTTACAAACTGTCTAGGTGTATTTTCATGGCACAGTAGCACAGTTGAGTAGTTGCAACAGGGATTCAGCTATATGGCCCACAAAGCCGAAATATTTTCTATGCGGCTTTGTACAGAGTAAGTTTGCCAACTCTTGGTGTAGGGCGTAGATGTGAAGCTTGGAACTGCTACAGTTCCTTGTAGTTTTCCATTACGAGGGAAACCAGCTTTAAAATGAAGCTGTCACCATCGAAGTACAAGCAGAGAAAGAAAATCAGGGCTTTGATGATGTGCAACCCCAGAATCAAGGAAGAACAGCTGAAGCCTGATAAATATTCTTTATTTATTCATGCATTCAGCAAGTATTTTAATCTATCAGACATAGTACTGGGAGCTGGACACAGCAATGAATAGAGATGACGAAGTCTCTGCCATCAGAGTCTCTGTTTTGTTGGAAAAATAGGAAATACATAAACACACACACACACACACACACATATATATCTATCTTAGGTGGTAATACATGCTAGGAAGAAAAAATGTAGCAGGACAAGGGGAGAGCATGAGAAAAGAAAGCCTAGTTCAGATATAATGGCCATAGGGGCCTCTCTGAGAAGATAGGGCCTCTAATGAAATACTGAAGTGAGCTGTGAAATATCTAAAGGAGATCATTCCAGACAAAGAGGGTAACACGTATGATGGCTATGAAGGGAATGAGTAGGGCAAAAGCAGAGGAATGAAGTCCTATGGACAAGAAAGGGCTATTAGCATTTTTAAAAGATAACTGGGATTACAGTATTTTTGTATGCATATGGCAATAATCTAGAAGAAGCATAACATTAGGATAGGAGAGTGTGAAGAATGGCTGGAGGTGAGTCCTTGTTCAGGCACGAGAATGGAAATCTAATGGTTTAGACTATCATGATATGTTCAGAAAGGAAAAATTGCATGGAGGTAAAAAAAAAAGATTGAGAACAAGTTATCAGTGACTGAATGGGCAGGAGTTGGGGTGAAAGCGAACAATCAACTAAAGGTGACAGCAGGCTGCTGTCCTGAATAATGGGTGTGTGGTAGTGCCATTTCCCAAGAGTGGGGATACTGGGGAAAGGGCCAGCCCAGAGGTAAATGATGTAGAGCTGGGTTCTGGACATAATGAATATGAGTGATCCATAAGATAGACACATGGAAATTACTGCAGATAGCAGGAATGAAGGGAATATACAGGACTGCAGAGGAGGCAGATCTTGAGGGGAGCGGGGGAGAGTCTGAAAAAGCTGCTGTATGTAAAGGAGGAGTTGGCTGGAAACAGAACAAGGCAGCACTGAGGACTCAGCTTAAGTTGGAGCTAATAAGTGAGGTGTGTATTTTCCTTCCTTCTTGCTTTTTATTTTATTTTTTGCAGAGGGAGGGCTTCTGCCTCTTCTAGAATGTAAAGCTCCTGGATGGCAGGACTTTTTGTTGATTTTGATCACTGCTATATCCACAGCACCTAGAACAGTGCAACACACATGGCAGGCTTTTAATAAACATTTCTCAAATGAAAAAATAAATTTATAGAGGCATAATTTCTGTGGCAAAACCAGGTTCCAATATTCTTATTTCCTTAGTCCAAACATAATCCTGGCACAAATATTAACACCCTCCAGCCCCCGGCCCCACAAATAAAACAAAATATCCACTTTGACAGTTCTACCCCATAACAATTCTCATTTTACAGATACTATGGCTTCCTTTATAACTTAGTTTCTTTAAAAAAAATCCCCAAATATTATCATACTTGGGGAAAGGAGTCACTGGTTTTGATTTTTGAACCAACATATTTCCACTGTCTATAATCCCCAACTGTTAATATTTTATTGCATTTTTATCTGTCCCTCTACAGGGCACATGGAGGACGCAGCTATCCACACATAACATACATCTCCAGCCTCCAGCCCCTCACAGGCTGCCAGGTTCACAAGTCCATGTGGCAACTGGACACTTGCCCTTGGACGTCTAATAAACAAAATATACACCTGCCATACTCAGGTTAAATCCCTGATCTCTCCTTCTGCTCTTCTTGTCTTTTTCTCACTCCTTACATCTAATCTACCAGCAAGTTTTGTCAGCCAAATCATACCCAAACCTTTCTCCACAATTACCATCCTTACCAAGCCACAGTCACCTCCCTGGTGCACTGCAAAAGCCTAACTGGCTATTTGCAACTGGAGCCACACACAACATTCCCCACAGAATCAAAACCCTAAGGCTTTCTATCACACTTAGCCTAAACTTAAACTCCTTATAGCTCTACATGACTGGCCCAGCTTTGTGTCCTGTTGCCTACTATGCTCCTAGCCACCTTAGGAAACCCATTAGCTCTTCCTTCTGCCTAGAACTGCCTTTCCCATCACGAAGTAGCAGGTTCTTTCCTGTTATTTGGATGGCCTCTCCAACAGTCTCATCTCAGAAAGGCCTTTCTGACTAAACATACCACAGAAACACCTAATCACTTTTCACAACTCAGCCTGTTTTAATGATCTGCATGTTATTTATCAATTGCCTTTATCTTCTGTCTCTTCCTACCAGAATAAAGATTCTTGTGAATAATAACCATGTCTGTATGGTTCTAGGTGCTAGGGGTTCCAGAAGTGACTAGTGGCTGGCATAGATTGAACTCATTGGATGAATTAATATGAGAAGCAGTTTTTGCAGTTGATAAGAGTGGAGACACACTACCCTGGCTCCTGGCCCTATTCCTGCCAGATGTACATTTGGGCAGGCACTCAACCATCATAGAGCTGTGTCCTCATCTGTAAAATAGGGGTAATAATAGCATCTATCTCAGAGGTGCAAGGAGGATTAAATGAGTTAACATGCATGAAAAACAGAACAGTACTGTACACACAGGAAAGGGTACATAAAAAAATCAGCTATTATTAGCGTGAAAATATAATCTAAAATACACATATATAATTTCCCATTTTTTAAACTTTATATTTTCCTCTATATTTCATGAAGATTTTCCTCTTGCTACATATGCACAACCCTATGTACTATAAGTCAATTTATTATTTTATTATTTATTTATTATTTTATGATTAGTAGAGTTTCGCTTGCTTCCAATATGTATTGCTATTCTACAGTTCTGTTTCCTCAGGAGAGACTCCTGGGAGTGGAGATTACTAGATCAGAGGAATGGAACTGTTTGAAAACTCCTGACCCAGAAAGCTTGTCTGTATTCCTACACCACCAGCAGGAATGGAAGAACTCCTACCCCATCAACCTCACTTGCATGGCTGTTTTAAAAACAGTGATTTTACAGCAGCAAAAAAGTATTGCACTGTTTTTTTTAAGATTTTGTTTATTTATTCATGAGAGACACAGAGAGAGAGGCAGGGACAGAGGCAGAGGGAGAAGCAGGCTCCTAGTGGGGAGCCCGAGGCAGACCTGATCCTGGGACTGCGGGATCACACCCTGAGCCAAAGGCAGGCACTCAACTGCTGAGCCACCCAGGCATCCCTGAACTGCTGTTTTTATTTATTATTAGTAAGGTTGGTTATTTAAAAATGTTTACTGTGGGGCAGCATGGGTGGCTCAGCGGTTAAGGGCCTGCCTTCAGCCCAGGGCATGATACTGGAGTTCCCGGGGTCGAGTCCCACGTTGGGCTCCCTGCGTGGAGCCTGCTTCTCCCTCTGCCTGTGTCTCTGTCTCTCTCTCTCTCTCTCTCTCTGTGTGTGTGTCTCATGAATAAATAAATAAAATCTTTAAAAAAATGTTTATTGTGAATTATTACCAACTGTCTTTTAGCGAGTTTTTCCTACTGGTGTATTTCTGGTTTACTTTTAATATCAAGGAGATAATATTACACCATTAAGGAGAACAAGCTTTTGTCTTAAGTGGGGAGACTGAAGTTTAGAAACAGTAACTTGCAAAGGTCATAGAGTAGTAAAACTACAACTTGAAGTGAAGTATTTAAACTTTTTTTTTTTTGGAATCCTGGGGTGGCTCAGCGGTTTAGCGCTGTCTTCAGCCCAGGGCATGATCCTGGAGTCCGGGATCGAGTCCCCACACTGGGCTCCCTGCATGGAGGCTGCTTCTCCCTCTGCCTGTGTCTCTGCCTCTCTCTCTCTTCTCTCTCTCTCTCTCTCTCTCTCTCGTGTGTGTAGTGTCTCTCATGAATAAATAAAATCTTAAAAAAACTTATTTTTTTTGCATAATATCTAGAATTAACCCACATTCAAATCATTCTTTTCCCACATCCTCCCAAACTGGACAAGAATATTAGCATGCTTTTACATTCCTCTTCACCCTCACATGTTGATTCCATTTAGCACTTTGTTTATCAAGTATTTTTTTTAAATAAACGTCTTATTCTGGAGTAATTTTAGAGTTACAGAGAAGTTGCAAAGTAGTAAAGAGAGTTCCCATATACTTCTCACCTAGTTTTAACTTCCTCTAAAGGTTATTATTTTACATGGTTGTGGAATATCTATAAAAACTAAGTATCCAACACTGGTACATTACTATTATCCACATTTTAGACTTAGATCTAAACTGGATTCCACCAGTTTTTCCTTTAATGTTCTTTTTTCTGTTCCAGGATCCAGTCCAAGGGACCACACTGCATTTATTTGTTGTGTCTCCTTGAGAAACTGTGACAGTTTCTCAGTGTTCCTTGTTTTTGATGATCGTGACACTTTAAAAAAATCTATTATTATTATTATTATTATTATTATTATTAATTAGTGATCCCTATAACCGATGTGAAGCTCAAACTCATGACCCTGACATTAAGAGTTGCATGCTCTTCCAACTGAGCCAGCTAGGCATCCCTGATGTTGACACTTTTAAGGAGTATTGGTGGGGTTTGAAGTGTTTCTAATGATTAGGTTTTTTGGCCACAGAAGTGAAATGCCCTTCTTGCCACATCAAATCAGGAGTGCATAAATACCACTGGTAATATTAATGTCATTACTTGGTTTAAGGTGGTGTCCTACCAGGTTTCTCCACTGAAAAGTTAGTTCTTTCCATACTCAATTCTTCACATATGACTCACCTAGCTCTTTTCTAATGGAAAAGAAAGTATCTACATAAGTTATTTGGAATTCTGTAGGGAAAATTTAGCTCTTCTTCCTTATCTATCTTATCAGTCTATCCATTGATTTATTATTTATTCACTCTCTAAATTAATCATATCAGTATGGACTCATGGATATTTTATGCTTGGGGTTACAATCCAATACTATGTTATTTGTTTGTTTGTTTGTTTATTTATTTATTTATTTATTTTTGTTATTTATTTTGTTGCTCAAATTTTTCCTGCTTTGCCAGTTCTTTCAAGCTCGTGTCCCTTTGACATATCTTCAACTTTACTTTCTGGAGCTTTAGGCTCCTTGATGTCCTGTCCCTGCACTAAGATTTGGGAGCTGGGCACGCTTCTTATTCTTGGGGTATCACTCCTTCTAGGTCCTCTCAGAGGAAAGAGCAAGGTAATACACATGTGTATACCCTTTGAATTTTAAATCTCCAATTGCTGCTATTCTTCTTCTTCTTCTTCTTTTCTTCTTCTTCTTCTTTTTTTTTTTACATGTTTCATCAACAACTGTTAAACAAAACAGGCATTTTATTTTTGGGGAATTACTGTTTTATTCTCAGGTCTTCTTTCAAACAGGTCCATTTCTCAATCTGCTGAAGAGGTCTGTTAGAAGCAAACTTTGAATCCTTGAATATTCAACAATATCTATTTTGCCCTCAAACAGGTCAGATATGAATTACAGAATTAAAGTTATTTTTCTCACAATGTTCAAGGTATTGTTTTATTGTCTTCTGGCACCAATATTACCAAACAGAAGGGAAATGACGATTCTTATTCCTTTGTAGACAAGTCCTCAAATGCCAGAAGACTTGACTTTCCTCAGCTTTTTGAAGTTTTCTTCTATTTCCTCCGTTGTCTATTCTCTCTTTTCTCTCCCTCTGGAATTCCTGTTTAATAGGAGTTTAAATAGGAGCTTACTGAGTAATTTCTCATTTCTTGGTCACATTACCTCTTGGTCATCGTGTGCACGGGTGGCTTGTTTTCTAGTTTACAAGTTTGTTTCAACTGTGACCATTCCACTATTCAGCTCATTTAGTGAATTTTAGATTTTTAGAATTTCCAAGTTCTGACCTTTTTCAGCAACAAATCTGGTCTTATGAATTTAATGTTTTCTTTCCCTAAAGGCATATTTATCTTCAAGGTGTTTTCAACTGTATTCATATCCTCATGTGTTATCTTTTCTGTTTATTAAAATTTGGTGCTTCTCTTTCGTAGTGTTGGTTTGGCTAGTCTAGGTTAACTGCTACTGATCTTTGTTTCAAAAATTATTGTTCAGGGATCCCTGGGTGGCGCAGCTGTTTGGCATCTACCTTTGGACCAGGGCGCGACCCTGGAGACCTGGGATCGAATCCCACGTCGGGCTCCCGGTGGATGGAGCCTGCTTCTCCCTCTGCCTATGTCTCTGCCTCTCTCTCTCTGTGACTATCATAAATAAATAATATATATATATATATATATATATATATATATATATATATATATATATATATATAAAGAAGTGTGAGATTCATACTCTGGAAATTATAAAATATTACTGAAAGAAATTAAAGAAGATTTAAATAAATGGAAAGACACCTATGTTCATGGATTGGAAGACTTAATGTTATTAAAACACTGATGTTCTCCAAATTGATTTACAGATTCAACAAATTCTCTACAGAATCCCAGATGACTTCTTTTTGGAAGCTGACAATCCTAAAATTCACAGAACTCAGAATAGTCAACATAGTCTAGAGAATGGAGAACAAAATTGAAGGACTCACTCTTTCCCATTTCAAAACTTACTTCAAAGCTACAGTAATCAAGATAGTGTGGAGGGGACCTGGATGGCCCAGTTGATTAAGCATCTGATTTTGGCTCAGACTGAAATCTAAGGGCCCTGGATCGAGCTCTGTGTTGGGCTCCCCACTCAGTGGGGAGTCTGCTTGTCCCTGTCCCTCTTCCTCTGCTCCTTCCTCCACTTGTGCTCTGCCTCAAATAATTTTTTTTAAAGACAGTGTGGTACTGGCATAGCAATAGACATACAGATCAATAGAATTTAGGGTCCAGAAATAAGCCTTCACATTAAGTCAACTGATTTCCACAAGGTGGAAAGATAATTCAATGGAGAACAAATAGTCTTTTCAATAAATGGTGCTAGGACAACCAGATATTCACATGCAAAAGAATGAAACTGGACTCCCACCTCACCCTATAATAAAAATTTAACTCCAAGTGGTTCAAAAATCTAAACGTAAGAGTTAAAAATATAAAGCTCTTAGGAAACATAAGTGTAAATATCTGTGGTTTTCAATTAGGCACTGATTGGTTAGATACGACACAAAAAGACCAAAGACAAAATAAATAAATTGAACTTCATTAAAATTAAAAACTTTTGTCCTGCAAAGGATATCCTCAATAAACTAAAAGACAACTAGGGTATGGGGGAAATATTTGTAAATCATGTATCTATTGATAGGGATCTGTATCAAGAATACATAAAGAACTCTTAACAACTTATATTGAAAGTATAAATAACCCAATGGGCAAAAGATCTGATTAGTCATATCTCTTAAAAATGGCCTATAAGAGAAAGGAGAGATCATGACCAACACCAAAGAAATACAAACGATTTTAAAAACATATTATGAGCAGCTATACACCAATAAATTAGGCAATCTAGAAGAAATGGACGCATTTCTGGAAAGCCACAAAATACCAAAACTGCAACAGGAAGAAATAGAAAACCTGAACAGGCCGATAACCAGGGAGGAAATTGAAGCAGTCATCAAAAACCTCCCAAGACAAAAGTCCAGGGCCATATGGCTTCCCTGGGGAATTCTATCAAACGTTTAAAGAAGAAACCATACCTATTCTACTAAAGCTGTTTGGAAAGATAGAAAGAGATGGAATACTTCCAAACTCATTCGATGAGGCCAGCATCACCTTAATTCCAAAACCAAAGACCCCACCAAAAAGGAGCATTAGAGACCAATATCCCTGAGGAACATGGATGCAAAAATTCTCAACAAGATACTAGCCAATAGGATACAACAATACATTAAGAAGATTATTCACCATGACCAAGTGGGATTTATCCCCGGGACCCAAGGCTGGTTCAACACTTGTAAAACAATCAATGTGATTCATCATATCAACAAGAGAAAAAACAAGAACCATATGATCCTCTAATTAGATGCAGAGAAAGCATTTGACAAAATACAGCATCCATTCCTGATCAAAACTCTTCAGAGTGTAGGGATAGAGGGAACTTTCCTCGACATCTTAAAAGCCATCTACGAAAAGCCCATAGCAAATATCATTCTCAATGGGGAAGCACTGGGAGCCTTTCCCCTAAGATCAGGAACAAGACAGGGATGTCCACTCTCACCACTGCTATTCACATAGTACTAGAAGTCCTAGCCTCAGCAATCAGGCAGCAAAAAGAAATAAAAGGCATTCAAATTGGCAAAGAAGAAGTCAAACTCTCCTGCTTCACCGATGACATGATACACTACATAGAAAACGCAAAAGACTCCACCCCAAGATTGCTAGAACTCATACAGCAATTTGGCAGCGTGGCAGGATACAAAATCAATGCCCAGAAGTCAGTGGCATTCCTATACACTAACAATGAGATTGAAGAAAGAGAAATTAAGGAGTCAATCCCATTTACAATTGCACCCAAAAGCATAAGATACCTAGGAATCAACCTAACCAAAGAGGTAAAGGATCTATACCCTAAAAACTACAGAACACTTCTGAAAGAAATTGAGGAAGACACAAAGAGATGGAAAAATATTCCATGCTCATGGATTGGAAGAATTAATATTGTGAAAATGTCACTGTTACCTAGGACAATTTACACGTTTAATGCAATCCCTATCAAAATACCATGGACTTTCTTCTAGAGTTGGAACAAATTAAGATTTGTGTGGAATCAGAAAAGACCCTAAATCACCAGGGGAATATTAAAAAAGAAAACCAGAGCCGGGGGCATCACAATGCCAGATTTCAGGTTGTACTACAAAGCTGTGGTCATCAAGACAGTGTGGTACTGGCACAAAAACAGACACACAGATCAATGGAACAGAATAGAGAATCCAGAAGTGGACCCTCAACTTTATGGTCAACTACTATTCGCCAAAGCAGGAAAGACTATCCACTGGAAAAAAGACAGCCTCTTCAATAAATGGTGCTGGGAAAATGGGACATCCACATGTAGAAGAATGAAACAAGACCACTCTCTTGCACCAGACACAAAGATAAACTCAAAATGGATGAAAGATCTTAATGTGAGACAAGAATCCATCAAAATCCTACAGGAGAACACAGGCAACACCCTTTTTGAACTTGGCCACAGCAACTTCTTACAAGATACATCCATGAAGCCAAGAGAAACAAAAGTAAAAATGAACTATTGGGACTTCATGAAGATAAGAAGCTTTTGCACAGCAAAAGATACAGTCAACAAAACTCAAAGACAACCTACAGAATGGGAGAAGATATTTGCAAATGACGTATCAGATAAAGGGCTAGTTTCCAAGATCTATAAAGAACTTATTAAACTCAACAGCAAAGAAACAAACAATCCAATCATGAAATGGGCAAAAGACATGAACAGAAATCTCACAGAGGAAGACATAGACATGGCCAACAAGCACATGAGAAAATGCTCCGCATCACTTGCCATCAGGGAAATACAAATCAAAACCACAATGAGATACCACCTCACACCAGTGAGAATGGGGAAAATTAACAAAGCAGGAAACCACAAATGTTGGAGAGGATGTGGAGAAAGGGGAAACCTCCTGCACTGTTGGTGGGAATGTGAACTGGTGCAGCCACTCTGGAAAACTGTGTGGAGGTTCCTCAAAGAGTTAAAAATAGATCTGCCCTAGAACCCAGCAATTGCACTGCTGGGGATTTACCCCAAATATAGAGATGCAATGAAATGCCGGGACACCTGCACCCCAATGTTTATAGCAGCAATGTCCGCAATAACGAAACTGTGGAAGGAGCCTCGGTGTCCACTGAAAGATGAATGGAGGGATCCCTGGGTGGCGCAGCAGTTTGGCGCTTGCCTTTGGCCCAGGGCGCCATCCTGGAGACCCGCGATCGAGTCCCGCGTCGGGCTCCCGGTGCATGGAGCCTGCTTCTCCCTCTGCCTGTGTCTCTGCCTCTCTCTCTCTCTGACTCTCATAAATAAATAAAAATTAAAAAAAATAAACCTAGTATTTAAAAAAAAAGAAAGGTGAATGGATAAGGAAGATGTGGTTTATGTATACAATGGAATATTACTCAGCCATTAGAAACGACAAATACCCACCATCTGCTTCGACATGGATGGAACTGGAGGATATTGTGCTGAGTGAAGTAAGTCAATCGGAGAAGGACAGATCTTATATGGTCTCATTCATTTGGGGAATATAAAAAAAGTGAAAGGGAATCAAGTGGAAAGGAGAAAAAATGAGTGGAAAATACCAGAAAGGGAGACAGAACATGAGAGACTCCTAACTCTGGGAAACGAACTAGGGGTGGTGGGCGGGGGTGGAGGTGAGTGAGATACGGGCACTGAGGGGGGCACGTGATGGGATGAGCACTGGGTGTTATTCTATATGTTGGCAAATTGAAAATCAATAAAAATAAATGTATAAAAAAATGGCCTATAAGCACGTGAAGATGGCTCAACATCATTAGCTGGTATGGAAATGAAAATCAAAATTATACCAAGATACTACTTCATATCCGCTAGGATAGAATTCACAAATCTAAATGAAAAACCTAAAACTATACAATTAGAAGCAAGCACAGAAGAAAATCTGTGATCTTAAGTTAGGCAAAGGCTTCTTTGATCCAACAGTAACAGCATAACTGATAAACTAGACTTCATCAAAATTTATTAACTTGTGCTCTTTGAAATACATTGTTAAGAGAGTGAATAGACAAATTACAGACCTGGAGAAAATAGGTGCAAAGCA